ACTGATCTTCTTGAGCTGACGCAATTATTGTGAGGCATTCGTCTTTCCGGTTCCTTTAGATTGTTGAAATTTATCAAAACGCTTCAAGAGTTTTGCGCGTTGATGTTTTCGATTCCTGCGCTAGGATCCGCACAGTCACTTCAAAATCATCGCCGCTGTGCTTTTGTGCCTTATACGTACCTAGAGGGGTGTTTAGACGGATTTTAGCTCTTGCCTCCAGATGTTATTTTATGCAGACACAAAATGGTCTACCCGTTTCCCAATATATTCCTCGCCGCATGCGCTACATGAGATCAAGTATATTATACCTGAATTGATGCAAAGAAATCTTTTTTTAGTATTTCCTCGGTTTGGTTATAGAGGTTTTTAGTTGGGTAGATTTAAGTCAACATAGATTTTCTAACCTCTTAAGGAAGCCACCGAAACATTAGCGTTACCGTGAATAAGCAATAAAGTGAATTCTATTGTTTGCCCAGCAAGATTATAGCAGATTAACAACCTCGTGTTTGCTCGCAAAGAATGCATGGATTTGTTGGTCAGTACCGAGGCTTGTGAAAAATCAGTCTTGGGAATTGAAGAAATAGAATGATCATTAGCTCGTTCCCACTGACTCCCGTGTGGGGGCCATAGTAGAGTGAAGAAAACGCTAGCGTACATACCATGGACGCTACTAAATCCACAGATGATAGCCTGTGCTATAACGGTGTGCTGCTCCTTCACCTCAAGTCCTCCAGTTATCAAAAGTTATCGTCCATTTTCTAAAAACCAACAATTATGTGAGCGGCATGAAACTGATTGTCGTTCCATGTTCAATAATTTGGAACGAGATTGATTACTCCTGCTGAAGGTTAATGAAAGTCGGTCTTTACAGATATATCACTGCCCAATGTACCAACTAGAATAATATCGATCTCTGCGAGACACATTGCCTCCAAAAAAGCAGATCATATTGTACTGTGGCAATAGATGGACTTCCGTCCTGTACAAAAGCGCTTACTAAGTGGGATTCTTCATTCGAGCAGTGTTCCCTTCAATAGATTCGACTCGATGGGACAAGGAACACCAGCTTCGCGAGGACGACCAGCTGTGTATTATCGGTTCAGACCAACGACACTCTAGAAATGACAGAGGCGCTGAAATTTCAGTGGAATAAATATTTCTCACGCCAACCCCGTGCCAGCCAATAACAAAGAACAAACTAGTGAATGACTTAAGGAACGTGGAACACAGTCACTACAAAAACGAGCAAAACTTGAGGTTCGCTCCCACGACCGACTTTCTATTGACCTCGGCATTGATCAAGTTATTCTTCGTATTTTTGTTGAGCAAACGCGAGTTGTTTTCATTCTTTATTCTCGAATAATAACACCTCGCGTTTGCTCAACAAAAACAAGAACAATCATTTGAGGGTGGGGTATTTCAATGACTAGGAGCTGGGAAACCGCTTTAGGTAGAGCCCATGTCCGCGAATTTGAAATTAAAACGGGAAAATCAAATCGCGGCTGTTTTACAGTAAACATTACACTATAACTTCAATTAAACAGAGGGCGGAATGTTTGCCTTCTTTTAAAGACGGAGGGCTTGCAACGTGGAGATCGAACATCAGATTTTTCGAATGGCGAATCCAGTCGGGTAAATTCCGTGTGAAAATCAGGAAAGCAGTTGAATCACAAGTGAGATTAGGAAAGCTAACATCTGCAGCTCTACACCGTGACCTTGTAAAGGTGGGTGGAACTAAATGTTTCAAATTCAAGCTCATTTTCACTGGAGAAAATTTGCAGTTGAAGTCTTCTAGACAAAGTCATATACCTGTCAGTGCAAATTATTGCGCTTTCTTAAGCAGGGCCTCCAAAAATCCGCGCTTTTCCACAAGGGGTTCACGTTCTTGACCCAGTAGTTATTGTGGGTTTGCACACGTTGCATGGTTACCTGAGACAGTGCCAATCAATAAGTGCGGGTCATTGATAAACTAGTGAAGTGATTTTCTGCCTGGCAAAGAGACTTTCTAAGTATCCATCGATCCTTCTTCTAAGCAATTTCTAGTATGGAGTTCCGCATGAGAATTGTTCAACATTGTTCTATTGTCCTGAAGTGGTCAATCTTTAAATTATTCAGAAATTATTTATCAACCTCGTGTAAGCTTATCAAAGAAAGAATGCATATTAGGTGAGATATAACTATAATGGTGCCACACGATTTGAATAGCACTCGAAAGGAAATCAGTCAGTCATAGGGACCATGGGTGCTTCGCTGCCCAATTAGAGCAACCCATCTCTTGACGGTCATGCGATGCGCAGCCATTAGTGTATTGTCCACGATAAATAGCGATGAATCGGTCCAGTGGTTGTACCGCGACAAAGCTTCGAAACTAATTCCGAAGCGAATACTGCACCGAAAGAATTATTTGCTGACCGTTTGCTGGTCTACGGCTGGCTCAATCAATCACAGCATCCTTGATCCGGATAAACAATTTCGCGGGAAAAGTATGTCTGGAGTGGTCAACAGAAAGCACCAATTCTTAGTCACGGTAAAACGCGGCATTGTGCCGTACAACTGACCTGGAACGGCTTGACTGCTAAACTCCAGTTCACCCAGCATATTCACCAGAAGTGTAATCTACCGACCACCACTTCTTCAAACATCATTAAACCTTCTTGTGTGAGAAGTGTTCCTGAGATCAGAAATTGCCGTGTTGAATTTGTGTTTTGAAATTTGTTGAATATGAACATGCTGACCACCATTATCAACAGTCGTCTCGTCCTCCTCAAAGAAGAACTGCCGAGTGAGGCTACTTCATTCGAACAGTGCTCTACTGGATTACACTCAAAGAGATAACGAAGACCCACATCGTAAGAAGGAATAATTTTGAACAATCGACTCGCACGAAATTGCTCTGAATAACGCGAAGAAGGCGAAACAATAGCTGAATAAAGCTTTTTATTAACCTCGGGTTAGCTTCTGAAGGAGAGAATAAACATTCATTATCTGCATTTCTCAAGTTAGACTTTCTATAAGCCTCGGCATTGATGAATAACTTGCTGCTTTCCTGATTAGCACACACGAAGCTGTTATTATGTGCCGTTCATTCACAACAGCAGAAGTTTGTATAAAGGAACACCTAAACGGTGAGCGTACAGCAGAAGAAAGTACTCCACTTAGGAGCATTTGGGACACATATACATAACGCGCAAGATATTGAAGTGGAACTCACCATCCTCGATCAGGGATCTAAAACGTCAGCGCGAAGAACATTCTGGTTTCGTGCGCTCTGTGGACTTATATTTCGGCGAACTTGTGTACATCATATTTTTTTCTAGGCTCTTAGTGAAGAACTCTGTCCATTGGATCGGTGGTCTTCCTGCAGTGCGTTTGACATCCCGAAGAATCCAGTCACTAACGGCTCTTTTCCATCGCTTGTCATTCATACGCATTACGTGCCCAGCCCACCTTACCTTCGACTGTATGGCGTACAAAACTGCATCTCTGATTTTTGATCGTTGATGCAGGTCGGAGCTTTTGATCCCATCCCTTACTTGCGTGAAACGGGATGCTCCTAGTATCGCCCTTTCGACTGCACATTCGATAGCGTTGAGTGGTCATCCAGCTTACGCAACGACCAGGTTTCAGAAGCATACGTCAAAGCTGGAATTAACACTGAGGCGAAAAGGCGGGCAAGGAGTCGTTGTTCTTTGTCTTCTTCATTACGTCCTCGATGCTCACGAAAGCTCTCAAAGCCCCCGTTTCCTTCTGCTCATCTTTGGAGCTAGGTCGTTTATCATATTGATTTCCCGACCTAGATAGATATAACTGGAGCATTCAGAAATATTCGTTCCTTTGAGCGTGAATTGAGCATTCGAAACCAATCCGTTCTTAATTAACATCGTTTGTGTGGGATTGACTCGAAGACAAATCTTTCCACAAGCTTTATCAAAGTCGTCAAGGATACGTTCCACTTGGCCTATGTTTCGTGTTATAAGAACGACGTCATCAGCAAAGCGAAGATGGTCTCCCCGGAACTCCGGAGCTAAGTCGTTCACCGTGTTGATTTCCTGACCTAGATAGACGTAATTGAAGCATTTGGGGTTATTCGTTCGGCTGAGCGCCAATGTGGCGTACACAACCAACCCGTTCTTCATAAACATTGTTTCTTTTGAGATTTATTCGAAGACCAACCTTTCTAAAGTGATTATCAAAGCCAGTAGCATTCGTTTCGCCTGGCTAATGCTTGGCCACATAAAAATAACGTTAACAGCGAAGCATCGATGGCGTAATTTTTGGCCATCAATTTTCAGTCTTATGTTGTCCTATGTGAATGTTCGCATGACGTTTTGAGGACCGTAGTAAATATTTTTGGTGAGATGGGGTTGCTTTGCCTAACCCATCTTCTGACTCTCATGTTAATATCGCTGTCGAATGGTGATACCTCTATTGAGAAAATTTTATAGATCTCACGAAGAATCTTTATACACTGAGTAAGATGATGGAGGATATAGTTCTGGGCGTTGATCAGTCTCTGAGGGATGCGCCATGCATTCGACTTCATTAAGCATCGTTGGAGGTGATTGAATGCATACCTGGCCTTTAAAATGACTTTTCGTGGCCTATAGATGCATCGAACCACTGCTGCTATCTTCCCGGATAGGTCTGGTACCATTGCAAGGCGCCTCGGACCACTGCGTTACACGCGCTCTTTTATGTACTGATTAGAGACTCTCTAACTCTCCAGCGCTTCCGTGATTGCTTCTTTCTCAATTCGGTCGACGACCACCTTTAGATCGATGAAAGTGAGACAGAGCGATCTTTTGTATTCACGTACTACTCTCTGTACCCGATTAGTCTTGTTATACTGTGAATGTGGTACATCGTGATGAACCGTTTTTGAATTGCCGCTTGGTCACATGACTGTTCTTCGTCCAATGTTCTTTTAATGCTGTTTAGGATGACGAAAGTGAAGAGTTTGTAGAAGAAGACAATATGCGGTTTGGGCGATGGTTTCCGATATGGTGGAGGTCACTCTTCGTCAAAAAATTTACGGTTTGGCCGATCTTCTACTGGTTGGAGTCTTTGTATTCAGACAGGTAAGGTGTAAGGAGCCGAGCCGTTGTGTTTATGAGGACTGGCGGAAAGTTCGTCTGTTCAGATCTTATTTTTTCTAGGCCAAGTGTTGTTCAATTCATCATCAACGAAATGGTATTTCGGATCTCGGAAGCGAGAACCATTGGGACGACGTTTCAAAACCACTTTATTTCACACAAATCACGTTGCCTTTGAAGATATCCGTGTCATAATCATGAGTGATTTTCTTCTTTGCTTATTGGATGTTGCAAGTGTTCTGTATGGGCGTTGAGGTGCAATGATCTTGGTTTTGTAACTGACGAAGCTTCGGTGGCTTTGCGAGTGCTTTTCCCACCCTCGGCAGCTTCGACACTAGCTTCGCTGTTCTCATTTTGAATCTTTTCTCGCCTGTCTACGTTGTTTCGAGAGTTCGGACGTGAGTTGGCGGTTGCTTAAGGCTCGTGCGATTTTACTCTGGCGCTTCATCTCGAGTTTTTCTAGAGACAGAAGTCACTCATCAGCTTTCATAGCGATAACATGAAGATCTTGAACGAGCCGAGTAGTGATTTAAATAAATCTCAGTTCATGGTGGTTTTGTGACTTTGTTTTTGAATTTAGCGGCTTTTTCTCCATTGGGCGAAAAATGAAATCTTGCACAAAAGAGGCGTGTTCCGTGATCCTGTGTAGAATTTCGGGGCAATAGCAGCATGAACAATGCAAACCTTCAATTTACTACAATGTCGTCCATTTCGTTATGGTAATCTCCATTGGGAGGCTCCCACGTACAGCGTTGAGAGTGGGGCTTTTCAAATTGCAAGTTACCATGAATGGCCTAGGTCGTTATGATAAACTCTGGTGGCCGCTCATTCTGCACGATCCATTCTAATTCGTGGACCTATATGTTACGAATTTCGGATATTTTTCTTAGCGGGATCTTAGTATTAAAATCTCTACTGATAACCTTAAGGAATGTGTGGTCTTCTCCGAGGAACTTCTCCAAGTCCACCTTGAACGCTTCGACATTTTCTTCGTCCTAGTTTGATGCCGGCGCTTAAGCGATGAAGATTGTCAGAGCCGGTATTGATCCACATCGCTTCAATCGTGAGCGTCCGATTCGGGTTGTTAATTGTTCGAATGAACCGATGTTCATGGACAAGCTCGTGTACACGAGAGTGCCGACTCCTCTATTTTGGCCTGTTCTGAGAAACACTTCTTCTCCGGTGTGACAGGCGGCATTGAAAGGGTGGCGTCGTAACGTCTTAGCCGGTCTGATGACGTCGTACTTCATCTTTCTCAATTGCATGATCAACTCTTCTATGGAGAACTGAGATACAAGTGTGCTTGCACTGAAGATGCAGATCGTCATCTTAGTCTTTTGCGATTTTCTCAGCTTAGAATGGTCCTGAGATTTTTGCAGCGTATCCCTACCCGACCTATTCAGGGCAGTGGTAACCGAAGACCTTTCAAGGTCAGAGGAATGAGGCCCGTTTATTTTACTGCGTTTAGCGCTTAATACCCACGTATAGCTTGCTGAACTCCAAACGTGGGAATTGAGTATGCTGACTTGTAGACTGCCGTTCCCTCGCAGAGTACACTGAAGAGAGTATTTGTTGTAGACCACTCCTAACAGCCTCCCATGAACTTACCTGATACTCGACTTCAGGCTTTTGGCCGAACTGAGTCGTAGAATAAACGCGCATGAACGAGAACACCCACACGCACGCATGCATCAATACGCCACGTAAATACTGAAAGTTTGCGACAAACCAGCGCAGTATGAAAAAGGAGTGCATTGTCTTGGTTCACCTGCATCTCGGGGAAGCAATCGTCGCTTTTGGTGCGCGATTAACTCTCTATCCGACACCTGGCGTCGTCCCATGTAGCCTCGCTGTTAATCAGCTTAGATCCATTATGTGAGGGAGTTATGTGGAAAAGAGATAGGATCAGATAAAGTGGAACGTTTTGTTTAGACTGCAGCCTGATGATTCCATCTTCTTTTCTGAATGTCGCAAAAGGCTGGTCGAGCCAATTTTTCTTGTATTGCTGGAGATAGCCGAACAAAAATGTTCCTCATTGATTGGAGGAGAGCGTTGGAGAAGGATTCGAACCAGGATCTTGTTTCTTTGTAACTTTCAACACTAACCACTCGAATTTGCACTTCATTCTTAGAATCTGCACTTTTTGCATGTAGTTTACAACTGATGGCCATTGTTAAGACAGTAGAACAAACAGCATCTAATGTTCCTAAGACCTCTTGCTATTAGCCCCGGTATTGGCCAATAAATGGGTTTTGTCTGTGGTAAGTGTGCGCATAGGACATAGAGACGAAGCGGGATGAATAAAATCATCGCACAGGGATCTAACACGTTAGAGGCCATGACTCTCGAGGGATTCTAGATAAGCTCCGAGGATCCAAAAATGCACGACAGGGTGTATTGCGCTTGAACCTTATAAAATCAGGCGACGAATTAAATAACCAAAAAAAAAGTGTCTGAAAATAAGTGGAATATCTACGAAAGAAAGATTAAGGGCATGTGATGAATTTAATGTCAGCCAAGGTGCGTTGAAGTGATTTTGCATTGCATAGTCAGAATAATGCACGTGTAGCACTATACACGTGGTCCTTGGTTCGATCCTACGCCTCATTCTTACCAAGCCTTCCATCTTTCCGGGAAGTGGCGGAAAGGATGAAGGGGTGGGGAAGCAAATTGGCGTTAGATTTGCTATCGAGGATAGAAAAATCGATATTCATTTGATCACCTCCAACGATGCCTAGCCTAGTCCAATGCATGGCACCTCTCTCAAGCATTGATCAACGCTGAACGCTTCATCATATTTTTTACTCAAAATTAGACCTACTAGACTGTATAAAGACGTGAAGAGCTTGATGTTCCAGTACTGTCTGTGTTATAAGTGAGTATTTTAATAAAGAGACGTAGTTCTAACGTCTCTTAACTAGCACATGCATTAAGTAATTTTAATTATTCAGGACATATCGCAGCCAGTTAATTGCATGTAAACAGCAAGTGCTGGGTACGACAACAGTGGTTAGATCGCAGGCCAATATTCGCGTAAAGAGCATCAGAACTTTCGAATGAATTTGATATTGCGTCTATTGTGCTGCAGTCAGTACTCTTATTGTTGTATGTGCTCTGGCACTTTGAACAATAAATTAATTATGGGTCCTACTAGCATCAGCACGATTCTGAGGAAGACGAAATCCCTGAAAAGTCAGGCATCGAAAAACAACACACCACAACAACAATAACAATAGCAACGACAGTTTGCACCAGCTTCATATCAGCTTAACTGTGGCAGTTCGTGAAAACATATAGGGGGAAAAGTAATCATGACGAGTTCTCTCCCAAGTTGAGAAGGAGACCGGAATTTTCCTAAGAAAATCTTGCCAAGGGCAAGCAAAAACGAAGGTTCACCAAAGTTCTGGTATTAAATAGCCGAATAGTGGCCAGTTTCGTTTTGATCCACAAGGCGGGGACTTTCTGTGATAGTGGCAACTATCCAAGGAATCACATTGGGAAAACTAGCAAACGTCAGAAGAATGGAGATTATGCTGGGGCCTGCACAGCCAGTGAAAACGTGCAATCGAAATTCCCAGGTAAGTAGTTATGATGAGTTTACTAATAAAATCAACGTTACTGAATAAAGGTGGAACCCACACCTTGTTCTAGCGTTTCCATACTCGATCGTAGTTCAGACCTGTCTTTTTGCTGTGTCGCTTCAGCTATTCTGTGTACCGAAAGTGGAAAAGACTTGACGATCACGACCTTTCCATATATGCTATAGAAAAACTGTTAACGTCGCGCTATGCACGCTTAATATAACGAAACGTCCGAAAAATCTGCTGCGCTGGATTTTCAGCACTGCAGCTGATTTTTTCAAAAAGCGTCTTCCAGTCTTATGACATGGATGTAGTACACTTAGTTGACAACGTTTGCAGAATTCGTCCAACAAAGAAGCCATCTCGAGCGCCATCAGAATCCAGATATAAAGCGAACGCGATAGTCGTTAGAGGTTAGGATTCGACAAAGGAGTGGTGTAGCAGGAAAAGTTTTCAACAACGTCATTGATCGCTGGAGAACGCGGAAATACTTAGCAATATTTCGCGCATGATTACATGGGGAAAAAGAATTTTTTGGTCCCAGTCATAAAATACTAGTTTGTGTTTGAAACCTTGTTTGTTTTTGTTTGTTTTTGTTTGTTTTGTTTTTTGTTTTTGTTTTTGTTTTTTTTTGACAAACAAGTTTTTGTTTTTTCGATGTGCGCAATGATGCATGTCCGGAAGAAAAACAAGTTGTTATCACCGGACATTATCATTATATCGACCATCAGCATCATGTATAAAAGGGCATCACTGAGTAAGGATGCCTCATTCGAGGAGATGGCTCACTGAAGAAGATCTGACTCGACACGAAGGCGAAGCTGCCACGTCGAGACCAAAAACCAGCGAGGACCGTCGACTCGGATCATCGGCTCTGAGGAGGACGAAGACGTCGAAACGTTAGCCGAAAATAAACATCATTATCAACCTCGTGTAAGCTTATCAAAGAAAGAATACACGTTGACTAGTTTGTGTGTTGTTGAGTGACTGAAACAAGTGTATCAACACCTCAATGTAGTAAAATAAATGGTTTGAAAAAAGAGTTGATGGAAATAAACGCTAAGTGAGTGCAGATCAACTCTTGTCAGACGTTAAGTGTTCATGTTTCAGATTAAGGGTGCTCTGCGATTTGTTCGTGATTTCCACATAAAAAATCAGAGACGTTTCGATGCACGAGGCTATGCTTGTAGCAACCGCCCACACTGTGCTTTTCGAACAAGTAGTACAAACTGTACGATTTAACTTTGACGGAATTTTGTTATCATATCATATTAGTGCAGGGCGAAACTTCGACGAAAAACTGCGAATTTTTTTGAAAAAAAAGTTGTGATTTTTGAAAGCCACGTCCCATTCAGGGTGAATATAGCGCAGTACCTAGAGGTGCTTTGCCGTATACATGGGTTCGATCCTATGTACCAAGCTCACTAAGCCTTCCATCTTTTCGGCGCGGGCAAATTGGCACTAGACCTGTATTGGGGGATAGCAGCAGTGGCTCGATACATCGATAAGCCACCGCGAGTAATGAAAGTAATGCGAGTAATTGTATAGGCCAGATATGCATTCAGTACTTTTAAGGATTCTTGATAAAACCGAATGAATGTTGTTTCTTTCAAG